TTATGCTCCCAATTCTAATCAGCCACCATCACCATCACAAGTTAAGGGCACAGTGGCCCAGCAATTCAGGGGGAACATATTTGTGTGTACATTCAAAGGAGCAGGAGAGGAGTTGCCTTCTGCTGGCGGACTCTGGCCAATGGGGCACAGAACCTAGGAGTCAGACCGTTGGTCCATCTGGCTCAGTACTGTCTGCACTGACTGGCAGAAGCTCTCCAGGATTTCCAGCAGGGATATCTTTCCCAGTTCTACCTGAAGATGCTGGAGATTGGACCTACAAAGCAGATACTCTATTACTATGCTATGGCCCTTCTTTTCAAAAAGATCAGGCATGATGGGAGTTGTAGTTTTAGCAACATCTGCAGGTTCTTCCCATTCCTTGAAGATCAAAGACAGTAAAAACTCTTGCTCAAGCTTTCTTGGAAAGACCTCTTATTTTCTGTTAAGGTTCTCTCTTTTCTGGCTGAAGCCAGTGTGGTGTAGTGGTTAAGAGCGGTAGTCTCGTAATCTGGGGAACCGGGTTCGCGTCTCCGATCCTCCACATGCAGCTGCTGGGTGACCTTGGGCCAGTCACACTTCTCTGAAGTCTCTCAGCCCCACTCACCTCACAGAGTGTTTGTTGTGGGGGAGGAAGGGAAAGGAGAATGTTAGCCGCTTTGAGACTCCTGAAGGGGAGTGAAAGGCGGGATATCAAATCCAAACTCTTCTCTTCTTCTAATACAATTGTGCTCTTTATACACTGTCCCAAATTACTACGGTCCAAAGAGGATTTAGCTCATTTTTTTATCATGGTATCATGATGACATTTTAATGTGTGGTCATGGAACTATATCAGGCTCTATAGCATCTGTACGCCAAAAGACATAAAGAAAAAAAGACAGTAAAACAATGTGAAAAATGGGGAGACCAACCTAGCCCCATCCATCAGCAAGAGAAGGACTAGCTGCAGATTCCACCCTGCAGGAAAGAGCACTGATAAGAACATTGTAATGAGAAGTAGTGGCTGAGTTTAGTTTTTTCCTCCTCCCTCCCAATCCTTCTGCCTTTTATGTCATGCATTTTAGCTACTCATCCTGAGGGCAAGGCTGTCTTATTCCCGATGGTTGCACAATGCTTTAATGTACAGTCTACATATGAGACTTATACTAGATCAAAACTGGTGACAGCAAAAGCCAAGTTGTTGCAATCCAGCAAAATTCTGCATAATCTGGTAAATGTTTGTTGCTTTCAGGAAAGAGTGGAATGAGTATCAGAATGTCCTTTTTAAAGGAGTCGCAGACTACTTAGAAATTATACCCAGTCAGGGCAGTGGTTCATCTACCGCATTACTGCTCATTAAAATTCACAGCAGCTTCCCAAGATTTCAGACAGAGCTACCTTTTGCTGGAGAGTGAACATGAGACCTTGAATATGCATGGCACACCATGTACCCTTCCACTGAACTGTGTCCCTCTTTGCTCACTCAGGTATTCATTTCTGCACAGGCAGGCATGAAGATTCTCTCACACAACGGTACAGCAGAAGAAACTGCATATTCTTCTAAGTGCCAACATGGGTGGTGAGTGCCAACAGGGCTGTAGCCAAAACAGACCCACTGAGAATCAAAAAGGACGTATCAACATGCTTGGAAGAATCCTTTTCACAGAAACAGAAACAAACAAACAAAAACGTTGAAGGCGGAGGGGAACTGATCGTGCTAAGTGACCACAGAATGCAGAGTGCCTGTTGGGAGATGGAAAAACAGTGGAGTATTCTGGAAGGGGGCATGACTGGCTAGAAAACTGCACACACAGCCCAAAAATGGAAAGAAGATAAAGTCCCTACCAGAGAAGAATGGCAAATTAAATTGTTGGACTATGATGAAATGGCAAAACTGACCGGAAAGCTCAGGAACCAGGAAGATCAAAACTTTAATAAAGAATGGGAAAATGTTATCATTTATCTTGGAGACCACTGTAAGCAGTTGAAAACACTAGCAGGATTCCAATAACACTTGTCATGTAACAAGAGATAGGGTCATAAAGGAGTCATAAAAAAATAGGGATTATTGAAAAAAAGATGCAGTAGAAAACGTTTAACAACAGAAACCATGCAGGGGAAGGTGGGAAGTCCAAAGATTCAGAGGAATCTTTTAATTGTGGATGTGTTGTGGTATTATTATAACTTTAATTTTGTAAAACCAAATAAAAAATTACCGTATTTTTCGCTCTATAAGACGTACCAGACCATAAGACGTACCTAGTTTTTGGAGGAGGAAAACAAGAAGAAAAAAAATCTGAATCTCAGAAGCCAGAACAGCAAGAGGGATCGCTGTGCAGTGAAAGCAGCAATCCCTCTTGCTGTTCTGGCTTCTGGGATAGCTGTACAGCATGCATTCGCTCCATAAGACGCACACACATTTCCCCTTACTTTTTAGGAGGGAAAAGGTGAGTCTTATAGAGCAAAAAATACGGTATTTGAGAAGTAAAACTGCACACACACCCCGAATAAACAGCAATTGAATAAAGCAAAGGAGAAACCTCTGTTCCTCCCACGAAAAAAATCAAAAATAGAATCTGGGATCTATTTGTATTGACTGCACAGACTTGTATCGCACACAATAATCCATGGACCTTCTAAGCAACTCACATAAGAATAAAAATAAATATCAAAGATTCAGAGACTAGGAGCACTAAGCAGTCTCTGCATAATACAGAATCAAAAGATCAAGATCTAAAAACTGGAGCTCCAAAAGGTCTGAGCAAATAAAGCAATCTTCCCCTGATGCTTAAAAGACAGAGTGTCACCCAATTGGGTGCCAAAACAAAGAAAATCCTATGCATCCCATAATCTCTCAATGTGGGGGATGGAAGAAGGCTATACACTAATCATCTCAGTATTGTGCGACAGGGAGAGATACATTTGAAAAGAAACATCCCCTCCTGTCCTATTCCTGCCCAATCTAACTTCCTCCTTTGAATGAACAGCCACAGAAGGTTGATTCATTCATCAAGTGTATGGTGTGGTTTGTTGCAAGCTCTGAGGCAGAGCACAAAAAAACAACAACTGAGAATACGCTGTCCTCGGTTTAAAGGACAACTCTTTTTAAAGAAAGCTCACTGCTCATCAACATAATGACACAAACAATGCCCAAGAGAACCACAAAACAATGACAACAGCAAAACCCCATCTCTTAAATTGAAAGAGGTGTCTTTTGCTGAAATATTATAAGAAATAAAGCACGTACAGTTCAAAGAGGCTACCAGTGACTAAAAATACATCCTTTAAGTTAATAGGGAAACTTGTTTCACTGGCTTCCACAACCCACCAGAGATATACATCATAGTGTAGACCAGTGTTTCCCAACCGGTGTTCCGCGGCACACTAGTGTGCCGCGAGACGTTGCCTGGTGTGCCGTGGGAGGGAGGCGGGTGAGTCGGGCGGCGAGAGGGGGGCAGCGGCGGCGAGGAGAGGCCGCCCAGCGCGGGGCTCTCGCCATCTGCCTGCTGCCTGCGTGGCGCTGACGTCACGGGGCTGTAACGTGCCCCATATAGGCACACGCGGGGCGGCGAGCGAGCTCCCTCCCACATCCCATCGCCGCTCGCTTCGGCCGGCCTACTGGGCTGTCGCAGGCGGAAGGCCTGCGCATGCGCGAGGTTTTCGCGCCTTCGGGATTCCCTTCACGCCTTCCTCCTCCCGGGTCCTTGAGAGCACGGGAAGCGGCAGCGCGAGATCGCCGTTGAGCCTGGTAGGTATTGCGCTTGCCAAGGCAGTCATTTGGGAAATGAAAACTTGCAAAGCAAGCAACCAGTTCAATCTGAAGTACGTGTATGCTTAATATCCTGTATCTGAAACCTGTTCTGCCCCCTCCCCCACACTTGGTGCCATTTTCATCTACACATGCAGCAGAGTAAGTTGACCCAGAATAGTACCAATTCAGATGGCAGATGGGAGAATGACAGTGCTGAATGCTTTCCCATGTAGAACAGTCCCTGCAAATAAAAACCTAGCATATTTGGAAGAGGGATGCTAGCCTAACCATTACCTTCTATGCTGTTACTATTTTTTTATTTTTTTTTACATAAGTAAAAAGTGACCTTTCCCCATCTGGCATGGTGGTGTGCCTCGAGATTTTTTTCATGAAACAAGTGTGCCTTTGCCCAAAAAAGGTTGGGAAACACTGGTGTAGACAATGGAAAATAGGCAAGGGGGCAGAAGGGATAAGGGGCAACTACCCAAACATCTTCTAATACTTCCTGCTAGCCCAGAAGCGAGAAGAGAGACTTTGAATGGTTGGTTGCCCAGAAACCACACGATTCCCCGTTTGCTTCCTCTTTTCCACCCCAATTTAGCTCTTGCTGAGCTCAGTTGGCATGAAACCAATCAGAAAGAATGCAACAGGCAATAGCATGGCCTTGCTTCAAAATGGTGGGAAACACAACCAAGACTCACAAAGCACACCAGGACCTGCTAGCAGCCTTCCAGAGGCTAGATTCTGCCCACAGGCCACCACTGCAAACCATTAATGTGATAAGTTAACTTTGCAGTTTGAATAAGGAGCGATTCACAAGTAAAGGTAAAGGTAAAGGTACCCCTGCCCGTACGGGCTAGTCTTGCCAGACTCTAGGGTTGTGCGCCCATCTCACTCTATAGGCCGTGGGCCAGCGCTGTCCGGAGACACTTCCGGGTCACGTGGCCAGCGTGACATCGCTGCTCTGGCGAGCCAGAGCCGCACACGGAAACGCCGTTTACCTTCCCGCTTGTAAGCGGTCCCTATTTATCTACTTGCACCTGGGGGTGCTTTCGAGCTGCTAGGTTGGCAGGCGCTGGGACCGAACGACGGGAGCGCACCCCGCCGCGGGGATTCGAACCGCCGACCTTTCGATCGGCAAGCCCTAGGCGCTGAGGCTTTTACCCACAGCGCCACCCGCGTCCCTGATTCACAAGTACAAGAGCACAAAAAATGACAGAAACTATGATAGCTCACAGTTCCTACTAGAATATACAGTATATCACCATACCTTGCTTGGAATTCTGAAGTTCTCCAGGGGGCTCAGATCATGAATACTCTCCTGAGGACTTTTCAGACCCTTAAGGGAGGAAAAGACAGTTTATGTAATACAGTCTGCAACCTCCACAGAAATACTTCAGAAATACTTTGGTTTGGACTCAGTCTGACCCTTCTGTTTCCCTCCCCTTATGCTTGTGATTCATGGGCTACTTTTAAAATGAGGCTGCATTTTAAATTGCATTTTAACCTGTATTTTAAATTGGTTCTCCCCCCCCCATTATGTTTTTACTGTAATTTTACTGGTGTTAGCCACCCTGAGCCCGGCTCTGGCCAGGGAGGGCAGGATATAAATAAAAATAAAAATATATTATTATTATTACCCACAAATAAGTTTGCAGGAGAGTGTGTGTGTCAGCCATTTATTGCAGCCATTGCCAAGCTGATGCCCTCCGAACATTTTGGACTACAACTCACATCAGCCCCTGCCAGCACAGCCATTCTAGCTGGGACTGGTGGTCAAACAACCAATGGGCACCAGGCTTGTGAAGGTTGATTTACTGGCACTGTGCAGGAAAATAACTTGATTCCTGCACTACGGGGGTTGGACTTGATGACCCATGGGGTCCCTTTCTCATCTACAGTTCTATGATTCACCTGAGTTCAGTGCTGCGGCATTCCCAGCTTCCAGCAGCTCTGGATCAAACAAGCGTCTGATTTGTTTTCCCCTCTGCTTCCAATCTGGAGCTCCCCGTTTTCATTCTCAGTCCCACTAATGACTCCTTGGTCCATTTTCGGGGCAGAAGGAGGTTGCCACAACCCATCCATATTGCTCCTCACCTGTGGCTGAAAGCCACCTTACCACCCATCCCCGGCTTCTGATTCCAGTTGTGAAGAGTTGTACCTCAACCACTGCAATTTGTGATTCCTGCCCTGCACTACAGTTGTTGAACTAGAGGGCTCTTGGAGTCCCTTCCAACTGTACAATTTCCTGAAAAGAGTGACTATGTATGGTACCAGGTCATACCTTTAGCAATATTGCACCTGAAAGTTATTTGAAAACACAGTGGGCTCTGTTGTCCTAATCAGGCAGCTAATGGTATAACAAGTGTAAAAAAGACAAAAGGCTGTCTACATGGCACTGGCTGCCAATAAGTTACTGGGCGAGATTCAAAGTGATGGTACTGGTGCACAAGGCCCTATACAGTTTGAGTCCTGAATACCTAAAAGATTGTCCCACCTACTACATACCAATCACTGTGTTCTGCAGATACCATTCTGTTAGGGAGTCCATTCTGTACTATGTCCTTTAGTGTGGTAACACCTGCCCTTTGGAAATCCCATTATATTCTCTATTGCCTATTCTCAATATTATATTCTCTATATACGTTATATTCTCTATATTCTCATACTGAGCACTTGCTAAATATGTTCCTTTTTCAACAAACCTTCTAAATCATGGAACCTTCTTAATTCCAGCTGGTATCTGTATTGGATCTGAAAAGATCTTATGTGCTATAATTGCTTTAAACTGTAAATTTAATTGTTTTATTCCATGGTTTAACTGTTTTATATATGTTGTTATTATATTGCAAATTGTTTTGGGATGCCTGTGTAAAGCAAATCATTAACAAAATAGATATAGTAATGGCTGATCCCAAGGAACAAAGAAACAACATTTACTGAAATAAATTCTATTGTCTAACTTCATAGTATTTAAATTTAATATATATATTTAAAATATATATGAAAAGCAATATACTTTGAGAAGCAAAATAAGAGCAGCCTAATCCAATGAAGTACTGAGGACATACTATGTCATCCCTTTAATAGCAAAATCAGGAGTGGACACACAGAGATATTCCACATGTTTCTCTCATGCTTCGCCAAGCAAGCATAGCTCTATTCTTTTTCAACTGGGATCTTTCCGGGACCAAATCATTGGGCAGTTGCAATCCCTTCAGAGCATTACATTTTACAAGTTGATCAATGTAGCCCAGTCCACACACACTCCAGAGAAGAGATTTCCTCTTATGTTTATTGTGCCTTTATAGAAAAACCTACCTCATATGAAACAAATTACCATAAAAACAAGAGCATCTGTTTTACAAAGATTACTGTCATCTCTGTTTCCCCATTCTGTGCTACACTTCCCCAGAAAACCTACAACCTCATTGTATGAGTTCACCAGCTTGGTAGGTCCTAAAGTCAGCTTTACTTGCGCAGATAACATATGGCTCTTTCTGTCACCAAGCACAGAAAAAGAAATTGACAAGTACATATGGCTCCCAAACACCAATACCATTACATCACCCATAGAATTCAATGGATGGGAGAAAACCTCAAACCGACCAACCCACGGTCCACATGGATAACAGAAAATGTATCTGAAGACCAGGTCAGTCCCTAAGCCTAAGGATTTGGGAAGCTTGCATTAAGGAAAAAATGTGGACAGCCCAGAAGGTGGTAGCTCCCCCTTTCTTTCAGGAAAGCCCATGCCTATCTCCTTCATTCACCAACTCCTTCCCACAATGTGTCCCATTCATTCAGAAATCCTTCTCCCCACAAAGAAAGCAATGGAGAGTATCTAGCTATTTTTTACTCAAAGCAGACGTAGACCCACTTGAAACTGAAGGGCCTTAGTCATCATGCTCTTCAACCTACTCTGGATGTGACTAGCAATGGATACAACGCCAATGCATGGCAAGTTCCCATCCCTGTTCATCCTTACTGGAAAAGATCCCCTGCCCTCTCCGAAGCCCTAAGAAAACTCGACACTTGTATGCTTGCGAATTCCTGCCTTCCCCCTCCCTTACACCCCTAAAGAGGCTGAAATTTCCCTAGGAAAATTCATCACAATCCAGTGAGGCTACCACCTTATAGGCATTTATAAGGAGCAAGTCCCATTAAAAAGACAACAGAGGAAAAAACACGCACAGAAATTGTGGCGAGTGTATTTTAAAGGTTTCCCGTGTCTTTCTTTATGCGACACATTCACATGGCCACCCTGCCGCTTATTCCTATCACCCAAATGCCGCCCGCGTCCAAAGCCTTCTTTTCAGTTGCGGGGATTCTGGCCTTGTCCTACAACCGCAAAGACCCCGCTCCCACGACGCGGAGACCCTCCCACCACCCGCCCTTGGCACCGCCGGCTCCGCTCTTTTCCGCCGCTTCCTCGCCGCCCGTGCAAAACCTCCGCTCCCCGACCCGCTTGCCCTCTCGGCGGTACCTGTCGGGTCATCAGAGACTTGATCTTCTGCATGGCAACGCAGCGCCGGCCGCTTCACAAGCTCCTGTCACCCATCGCGCTCCGCTCTCTCCGACACAGGGAAGCCATTTTGTACATCACGTGATACGCTCTTTCGCTTTCCTGTTGCATTATGGGATCGGTAGTCCAGGAAAGACACGCTCCTTCCCACACTCTGGACCTGAAAACGTAAGATATACTACAACTCCCATCACGCTCAGCGGGACGTCTCTCCGCTCACCTCGAAGAGTAGACGTTCCAGGAGGGAAGAAGCTGCATAGAGATAGAAACAGTTAGAGGGGCAATCTGATACATGGAGACGGAACTTCCTGGTTTCTTCCTGGCTGTCTCCGTCCCCCGATGTTAAATGAATGGTGACCCTAGAAAACAATCGAGATTTTAGTAGATGCAGCTGGGCAGCAGGGCTTGTTTGTTTTCTCGTTTAAACGTATTAAAATGCCTTGCTTCTGACAACACACTCCACTATCCTCCTATTGGGGTGGGGCCCCTGAAATGTTTAATATTTATCACGTTTCATATTTCGGGTCAGAGATGGAGCTGAGCTTGGGTTGCCTTGGAGTAACAAATTCCCTGTACAAAAAACAAACAAACTTCAGATTGCAGCAAATCTGTTTAAATTACTCACTCTAATTCCTCCCAACCCTAATCCAGAATGCAGTTTCACGTCAAAGTCTTGCTTTTCTTAGATAAAATCGCATGAAATTGCGTTAGAAAAATGGCGAACTCCTTTGCTGCTGCTGCGCAAAGGCTGACTCAATCACAGCTACCGTTAAATCCCAAATTACTCCATTTTTGGTGAGTTGACAGCTGTCACTTCGCCTCGTGAGAGACCGAAAGGAGACCAAAGCAAACACGCAAACTTGTAATTCTGAGGTTGCGGCGGAGGGCGAGGGAGACGGGCACAGCGAAGCGCAAAGGTGCTGGGCTTGCCGTGCAAAGCAACGGCGCCTCCCGCCGGCCAAAACGACATTTCTTCCGAAAGCTGATCTCCTATTACTTTTATTCCTGCTATAGTACTTTGTTCAGGGCAGATATCCCTTGACTTTAGGCTTGACGGTCCTAAAGAAGATATTGCATGTTGAGTAGACTGTCCGGGTACAAGTTGTAGGGCCTGGCAAGAATTCTTTGCGCAAGGATAACCATAGGAATCTTCCATGGACATTAATCTTCCATGGTCCCCCTTTGGACTAAGAACCGATCTAGAACATTTATTATCTAATATTATAGTGAATAATGATGTCGCAGAGCTGGTACAGAGATGAACCATAGTATGTGTTTAAAAGGAATACTTTCTGCACACGCACACACACAGCCCCTTTGGGGCTAAGAACTGATTTCATGCAGCTTTATTATATAATATCATGGGGAACGATTATATCCGACCATTTCTGAACAGAATAAGCTAGCTAACTGGCAAAACACTTCCATTTCTAACACTTACGAGCATGCACAAGTCAAAACGTTATTCCTCCAGGTAGCTGTTTAGCTGTCAGCTGTAGGAAGGTGAATGTAACCTGCGTGCCGCTCTGGGCTCATTTATTTTTTATCAGTGTTGAGTGATTCATTCTGTATGCCCCATTTATCATGCTCTGTGTTTGCTGTGAATATAACCGGAGCGGGGAACTTAGGGTCACAGGCAATGAAGATGTCGAACACTAATCCAACAGGTGTTCCCACTCCCTCTGCCTTTTGTATACACATATTCAAATCACCTAAGGCAAGCCAGGGTAGGGGCTGATAAACTCACTGCTGATTTCCCTAGCAAATAAGGCCCACGGCTGCTGGACCAAACTCTGGCTTCACATGCACACCAGAGAGAAAGGGCTGCTTGCATGAGACAGGATGCTTTCATGGAGCCCTTTAGCACCACATTTTGTGACTTGCAATGCAAAATCTGTGTTCTGCTTTTAGGTAAGATCTCAAATTTCTTCTTCTTCTTCTCATACGTATTTAATCCAGGTGTAAGGTTTTGTTTCAGTTCCATACTTTTGAATGCTTTTAACTTTAGTAACTTTACCATTATAAAACAACCAGGAACTGTCAGTTTTCAAACCATGTGGATTTTTTTTTATCCTACAAACATATATGATTTGTACAGAAAAACTGGAAATATCTAGAAGGGTAGGTAGGTAGGTGGATACTAACTGCAGTGGGTAGTGTTGGGACAATCTTGGTGTTTTCACTCTGGAAGGCTGCAATCCTATACCCACTTACCTGGGAGTAAGCCCCACTGAATGCAGTGGATCTTACTTCTGAGTGGGCTGTGCTGTAATACGGAATCTTTTGTGGAGCCTTAGAAAAGCAGCAGGAAAATTTGAGGTATCAATTATTCTCACTGCCTTTTTGAAAAATACGTCATGCAAATAAGGTTGTTTCCTTTTCAGTTTTCCATATGTAATGGCCCAGTATTATCAATAGATCCTTGTGCCTAAGACATTATGGGTTTTGTATAAAGAAAAGTATACTTAGCATTAAAAATGAATGGCTTTTCATAAAACACCACACACAAAAATTAATAAGATGGGCATTCAGCAAGATAATATGTTTATTATCATTATTAATGAACTTTTAAAAAGTTGCAGTGCTTGTGAATGAAATAAATTTTATGGCTATTTTATGTACTTTTATACATTGCGATTAAATTGGCTTTTTACTTTCATTTCTCATATGAGGTCTGATGTAGTCCATTAAAAACTGCAAACTTGATCCCATTTGTGATGTTTTGTTTTCAAAAGATGACACATTTAGCACATTTTATCTTGCTATGATTTGTAATAATTTAATTGATTTCACGTCCAATATGTGTTGTACTAGATGTAGAACAGGGAGCAGAAGGGGAGGAAGCATACCATGCCACCAAAATTCTCAGTTTTATAAACTTTTATAAACTTCTTCCAAATAACGAGAGCTGTGCACAAATAACAATGAGAATTCTCCACTTTGTGGACAGAGAAACTGGAGTGAAACCATCTCACAATTTTTTGTAGGGGAGCGGGGATCTCCAACAGTTCCTCAGGCTTACCATTTGCTGTGACAATGGCCCATGGCACAACAAATCCCACTTCCCAAGTTTTGTTTTGTTGCTGCCGCTCAAGAAGCAGCAACAGCCTGTCCACCATTTTGCATCCTCCATAATGCCCCAGACCAAACATTATTCCAGGCATTGCAGAAGAGGAAATGGTTGCTGCCACACACAAAAAACTGGTGGGGGGGAATGTAGAAAAACATGCAAAGTGGCCTTCTTTGTATGGAGCGTATCAGAATAAGAAACATCAGTCTTCGCTGGAGTTAGGAGAAAAAGAAGAGGACATAATTCTGATTGATCAAGATTTCTGCCCTCTTAACTCAATTGTCAGAAAACACCTCACCCTAGCTGACCCCACCTTGTGCAAAATTGTCCCACCACCCATCCATTTTCAGCTATGCACAGGTTCTTTACTTCATCCTTTTAAACTAAATTACAAACGACTGGGGTTTTTACTGCCACCAAGGTTCAGTATAAGATCCTTTAAACCAGTGCAGAGATGATAAAGAGGAGAGGGGCTCGGGGTCAGATGGGAATACGAGATTGTTTCAGTTATTTCAGGGGCTTTATGGGTTAAAACCAGAATTTTGAAATGTGTGCAGAAAACTACAGATAGACTACAGGAAGATGCAGCTGCCCATCGCAAAAAAGCAGAGCTGCTAAATCAGGGGTGGCTAAATAGTCACCAAATTTCCTTGGGGTGTGTGGATCTTAAAGGTGTGATTTAGGCAGGCTCATCCCCTAGATGTGCTATGGAGGAAAGTTGTTTCTTGCCAGGTATTTTCTTCTACAGAGACTGGTACAGAGTGTTTGAATTCCTGGCTCTATTAATGAAGAGCTGACTTACTGCTGCTGTTAAATTGTGTCCTGTGGAAAATGGGAGCCAGACTGAGCTTAGTGCGGCTTCTGAGCAGTTGTGTGTAGGATTGTACTGTAAAACACTACCATTCTAATGGTAAAGCATTCTGCTTTACTTGGCTTGGAACAACAGTGGTACCTCGGGTTACATACGCTTCAGGTTACATACGCTTCAGGTTACAGACTCCGCTAACCCAGAAATAGTGCTTCAGGTTAAGAACTTTGCTTCAGGATGAGAACAGAAATTGTGCTCCGGTGGCGTGGTGGCAGCGGGAGGCCCCATTAGCTAAAGTGGTGCTTCAGGTTAAGAACAATTTCAGGTTAAGTATGGACCTCCGGAACGAATTAAGTACTTAACCCGAGCTACCACTATATGCTCATAAGCATATAAACAGGGCTTTTTTCGGGGGGGGGGCAGGGGTACGCATACCCCTAAACATTTTGTAAATCTTTGTACTTTTGTCCATTTACTGTATTTACTTTTCCCGATTTGAACTATAAAATGGTGATTTTCTTGAGTCAAAATGAGAGTACCCCTAAACATTTTTTAAAAAGAAAAAAAAAGCACTGCATATAGATCACTAGAGAATTAAGCTTTTAGGATCAGAATGCGACCTGTACTTATTTTTGAAAAAGACAAGGAAATCTTCCCACGGAGATCTTAAGTTTATGCATTAAACTCAAAATATGATGTCACGGTTTTTATTTAAACAGAAAAAGCTGCAGGATGTTTCCAGTCAACAAGGGTGGTGTTGTGCTTACTAATACTTAAAGCCGGATATAGAAGCAAAATGCAGCCTACGCTCTAGTTGGAGGTCACTTTGGAGAAACCTAGCCTGTTTATATCCAATACACATAAATGGCCTTGAAGAGATAACCTGAGCCAAGGAAGGGAGCGGTTTGCTTAGAAAGCTTATTGCCTGTTGTCTCCACTCCTGTTTTGCACCAGCTATACAGAAGATGCACAGGACTACGTTCCTTGTGCAGAGGGAACGACTGTCAAATAACACCTGGCCACAGAAATCCTCCCTTGTCTGGAAGGAATAATACACTAAGGATGAAACTGTAGCCTGAAACTGTAGCCTTTCAAAAGTGAAACATGGTTGTGTTTAACAGATCTGCCAACTCTTGACTTTTGGGGGCAGGAGACAGATTTAAAGGTAACCTCCCTTCCATGATTTTGAAATCTGACCTCTCTGGCTTCGATCAGTTTCACCCT